CCCCAAAACCCCAAAACCCCAAAACCCCACCTACTAATTATAACTAGCATAAAATAGATTATGCAAAGAATATACTCATTATATAATAATTATTAAACACTAGGAATATGTTTTAAAACATAATGCAAAGTACTATACAAGGATTATTGTCTCAGTACATAACTAATCTTGAAAAAACAGAACTATCTTTGTGGTCAGGAACTTTAGATCTTAAGAATATCATCCTTAATGAAGATGCAATGGAGGACTTAGTTGGTTTCAGTTCATACAACTTGAGACTAAGTTCAAATTTCATTGACAAAGTTCACATAGATATTCCAATAATCGATTTCCTATCTAAGCCTATGACTATCAAAGCAAACTCTTTGTATGCTACCTTAAACTTTATTAGGTATGACTTTTATTTTTTCATCATTAATCATCTTAGCTAAGACTAACTTGACTTAATCAAGAAAAGAAGAAGAGAAGAAGATAAAAAACAAGATAATTAGAATCTATCTTAGTTTAATTAGGCTCTAAAGGTCTAGGATCAAGAAGAGACAATTCTAAACTCAATGAGATAGAAACTCACCTAAAATATAAATATTGATCTTTAAAAGGGCAAATTCATCCTATTTTCAGATTAGGGATTCGATCTAGTGCTAAAGATTAAAAATGTGCACATTGTCAATAATAAAAATTACTATCATGACGAGTTTGACCCTGAATATGATTAATGCAACAATGTAAGATTTTTAAATCCGACTCATATCTTTCTAGTTTTTAAAAGTAGGAAAATTAAACTTGATCATGTATGAAAGTTCACTTAAAAAGACTAATAAATTCTAGCTATTTGAATACAATGATATCAAGATATTTAATTAGAACTAAGTTAAGTAGATGTTTAAGAAACTCATGAAATTTGATTCCCCTCTTGAAATCAGATTGAATATAGATGTTTTCAAAAAGATGTGCTTTCTCTGGAATTTACTTACAGTTAAATCATTATCAGCTGATAGTTAATAGTAAATTTAGCAGTAGTAGTCTTATATAATGCCACCTAATTCCTAAGATCAATATGCAAATAAGTATGAGACAGAGTTAGATTTCAAAAATATCTAAATTATGATAGTTGAAACATAGCAATAAGAAGACAATTAGTTTTCATAGCAGCATTAGCATTAAAACTAGAATAGTAATAGTAACAGTAGCTAAGATGGGTAGAACTTGCTTTATATAGGAGATATTCAAAATTTTAAGCTCAATCTATACAATTTCGCTTCTATATTCAAGTAAACTTTGTCATTTGGGAGAGTTGAATTTAAGTATCATTCATAAGAAGCAGATAATTACTTAGCACTTTTGTCATTGATTACATCTAATCTATTCACAATCGAAATACAAAGCTTTCATGAGAAATATGAGTATAAACTGCTCAGCGAAGAGGTGATTATCAGACTATTCAAAATTAAAGAATCTTTGAAATTTATTGATGAAACCCTAAAAGCTTTTGAGGATATCAATGCAATGAACTTTAAACATAAGTTGAGCTCAATTACTCCTGACTAGTAATAATAAAATTTGGACTCCCCAAGCCAAAATTAAAACTAAATATATCAAAGACCCAAGATCAATATTGATATCAAACTATTTGAGGTAGAACTAATTGATGCCGTAGATCCATCAATCAGCAAACTTACTTTTGCCATCAATGGAGTAAGTGGATTCGAGAATAAATCAACAAAGAAGCAGCACATAGTATTTGGCAGTATCAACTTTAAAGTATTCGATTGCTACTTATTTAAGGACATTGAGATGAGATATGTATTCGATGAAAGATCTTAGCAAATTAATGCCAATAGAATACCAATTGAGGTTGATATACTTCAGTTAAATAAGCTATTGAAAATGAATTTGATGGATGATATTGATACCTTTTTCAAAATTATAACGTTAATAATCTAATCTCCTCAAGAACAAAAACTTGAGAGAAGAAGAGGATCTTCTTTCATTGAATCAAGGCAAGAAATCATGCCTTAGGAAAACAACTAAATTGACAGATCATCAAAATCAAAGAAAAAATTTGTTGTAATTGTTACTTGCAATCATATTAACCTTGCTTTTGGCTATAGAGATTAGAAAAATTATTAGTTTAATGAAATACTTCAACTTGACATCTTCCACCCTCATATGAGATTAAAAGATTAAAAAATGCAAATTGACTTCTAATTAAGGTCCCATATCATTGAAAGGATGACTCTTTAAAAGATTAACTTCATTGATAAGGTAAAGTTCAACATAAAGCATGAACAAAACTAAGGATTTATGATAGCTGTTAATAACATTAAATTCAATGTTTTTCCTGAAACTATTAGAGAACTTTAAAGATTGAACAGCTTGATTACAAATAATTTAATGCCACCTGACCATAGATTTAAGATAACTAATAAAACTATGAAGGTTATAAAAATACTTCCAATTCTTAAATAATAGTTAAATCAAAATCTGAGAAACTTAGAAGCTTTTATCATAAACCCACCTTCAAAGTTAAACGATAACTCTCTGAAACTTCCATTTTTAAGTTTTACCCAGGAGTATCTTCTAAGATTTGAAACTTAGGAATATGAATTCTCTTCATTTAAAAGATTCGATTTCGCTTTTGACCTATAATAGCTATTCTTTAAGTTTTATTAGCATAGATATCTATCAGATTAGAAATATTTTTTCGAAAGTCTATTAGATATAGACAAGAAGGCACAATTCATCCTCTTTATAAATTGTAGTGATGAAGACTACCTAGATATAACTATCCTTGAAAGATATAGTTTATTGAATAAGATTACACCAGGCTTAAAGCTTAAATACGGTTCAAACGCTGAAAGTCTAGAAATTGATCTTGCTTATAATTCCAACTAAGAAATTGATCTAATGTAGACTATAGACTCAATATCAGTGAGTTTTCAAGATATAAAGCAGGCTCAAATTAGTCTATATAGTGAAATGTATCATGATTTGAGTTCAGTAATTGAGGATTAAACCAGTCACCAGTTAACTATGTCTTATTAAGTATTGAAATATCCATCTCAAAATTTCATAGAAACTTAAAACTGTGAATTATTAGCCTTACTACCGTTCATCAGCTTGCATAATGGATATAAATCTTTAATAACTGGAACAATGTCAGTGAATGTAACAGAGTAAAAGAGTTTTCATTTCTATATAGAATAGGATAAGACTCTACATCTTATTTTTAATAGAAGCGTATAAAAGCCACTCGAATCAGTTCATTATAGACATACCTAAACAAAATTGACAAAAGAAGTAATAAACTCTTTTAAAATCACTTACGAAGAGAATAAGCTTGAAAATATGATATAACTAGGAGATTTTTCTTAAGGATTTCATAGAATTATTAATCAGGACAATGAAAATACAATAAACTAATCATATCTTAATCTTGAATAGAATTATTAAGAATTTTAGTACCTGCAAGAGAATGTTAAATTCAAGTTAATCTCTTAATCAAAGAATTGCATACCAATTAGATTAAAACTTTATCCTTAATTAACTATAAAGAACAACATTTAAGAAGATATCTACTTAAAATTTTTAACTTTTGATAACTAAGAATGTTCCCCAATGCAAGTTATTTAGTAAAGCCACTATCTTGACATATCATCGAGAAATTAGATGCAAATTCACTATATTTAGATAGGAATAAAGGTAATAAACAATGTTGTTTTCTCTGACAAAATTTTGACTTTAAGAGATAATCTTGTGTTTCAAGAGTTAAAAGATGTAAACTGCATGTGCTTTATTAAAACAGAACTTCAAGTAAAGGATTAAAATTCCTTAATAATTATTAGCCCAGCAATAAAGCTTTATAACTATTATGAGAGGTTCTTAATGCTGACTCAACTAGGAAAGGAATTCTAACAGTTAATACTCAATGATAAAAATGTATTGTATAGATTCCAAATATAAAAACAATTATATCAATCAGAAGACCCTCAAAAAAGTTTCAATCAAATCCCAAAAAGTGCAGAATAAATGGTTCAAACACTTCTTAATCAAATAGTTATTGAGATTAAAATGATAGAGAGTAAAAATCTAGAAAGATTTTTGATTCTCAAGGAAAGGCTGAACTTCTTTATAGAAGAATAAATTGTGGATCTTGTTCTAGAGTAAATTTAAACTAAAAATTTCAATTATCATGAAAAGACTTCAAATAGCAGCCATATAATTGATTCAAGAGACTTTATCAGTGTGGAATTTGAAATGAGCTTTAATTAAGATTAATCAGAATTTAGTTTAGAAATTAAGCAAAGCCAAGATAGAAAGCAAGCTCTTGAGATATAAAACAACACATAAATTTTCAATTTGAAGTTTCTTCCAAACAATTAAAGTGTATCTGGATTTGAAATTGAATCATCTTAAAGTATTTAATTCTCTTCTGAAAAAAATATCAAATACAGATACTAAGATGGCAACTGGAATCAAGATATAATCATTGATTCTGACTTATATAACATCCTTCAAGATAAAATAACATTTGATCTGGATCCATCCCAACTTGTTGACAAGGAAAAAGTAATCAAAGTCTACAACTTAAAGATGATTAGCAAGTATGATGGAATTGAAGATTAAGTAGCAATCAAAATTGAATATATAAAGCTAAACAATAAACTTCTGACTTTAAAAATCTCACAAGAGGAAAGCTAAGCAGAATTCTTTGCAGAAAGTGAAGAACTAAATGAATAGGTGCCTTTCTAAAATGCTCTGCAGATTAATATAAATATCGAGATAAAAGCCAGTTTTTTGCCGTTCATATTTTAAAAAGGATAATTTGACAATCACTTGCTTTAAATTAATATCTAAGATGTAGAAGCATCAATTAGTTAATAAGGCTAGAATCAGAAATTATTGCTCTCTCTTTAATCATTTCATGTAAATCTATTCAATTTAACGTTTTTTAATAGATGTTAAATTATGATATTTACGACAATATTCAAGCAAAACCAGGCAAGCCTATAATATAAAATTAGACTTCTCAAATAAATATTTTGCAATTAGATGATGGTCTTAGCTTCTAAATGATCACTGTAAGTATTTATTCAAACTAAAGCAGTATTTAGGCGCCGCACAATGAGGATGTTACTTTGGTAAAATTAATGGAAATAAGTTTTGGTTCAAAGATTGACATAAACGTAGATGAACTATTCAAGATTTTGTCTTTAGGTTTTATTAACTAAGTACAAACAAATACCATAAAAGTTAACGGATAATCTCTTCAATTGAACAATAACGGACAATAAGCTAGTAGAAAATACCTCATTAATTCGTTCAAAGTTTCAAAAATAGAGTTATCTATTTCTTTGAATTTTAGTTAAATAGCAAATATCTAGATTGATGATGCTTTAGTGCTAATGCAAGAAATTCAAAAGAAAAATATCGGTTTTAAAGGAGAAATGATTGATTATATAAACATAGCACTGGAACATCTTACTACATAGGTATTTTATAGTCTTCATAGATTACTCTACCATTCTAATTTTATGGGGAAATTGCCCTCAATCTACAATTAGGCAAAAAGAGATATTTCAGATTCACTTTAGAATTCCTATAGTAAGATAAATATGTTTTATAAATTTTAGGATTACTAGCGATGTTTCCAATATTGAATATTACTGCTAAAGGAGTCTTAAAATTTATTTATAATATCGGCTCATCTTTCAGTTCAAATTTGTTTAAATTCACTATTGGCAAAGGATTATCAGATTAATAAAACTTTCTAATTTACTTTGAATAGAAACTCTAAGCGAATTAGTCATCTTGGTTCCAGCATAATCTTAACAACATGAGTCCTTAGTTAGTGACAGCTTACTTTAATCATGTGCACGAGGAAAGAGTATTTCTCTATTTAGATGAATGCTTCCTTGATACATCAAACAAGAGCAGTAATTGCCATCTTGTTATTCTTTCTCACTCAATTATTTTGATTTTTGAAACCTAAAATGAGATGAAACTATTCCAGTTGAATTATAATCACATAAGAAAGTTTTAATTCCTATAGGAGGAGTAGAGTGACTATAACGGAGTAAATGAATTTGTAAGGCTTTTGATTGGATTAAAGAAAAGAGCTATGAATAAGATAAACGAGAATGTCTCTTTCCAGATTTTAAATTCCTCATTAAATTTGGAAGTGCCTAGGAGATAAGCTGAGATAATGCTAAGTATTTTAAGAAATATGGAGATTATCAACAAGACAATAAATAACAATTAGTGATTAAAAAATTTTTTATTTTATCATATTTCCATTATTTTAAAGCAGGGGTTTTGGGGTTTTGGGG